CCCTGCTTATCTGATCATAAAGCTCAATTTTTAACTATGATATCAAGATTTGATAACAGAAATGATTAGATAGCTAGGATCTTCCATAACACAAGCTGGATTGAATACATTCAAATCAATACTTTCTGAGTTAAACTGGAGTATATTAGATTCTCAAGATCGTGATATAAACTATCTATGCGAATTCTTCATTGATGCACTCCAAAATTCTATCATAATCTCTTTTCCTGTGAAGAAAAAACCTCGGAGTAAAATTAATTTCAAGATAAACTGGTATAATGATAATCTTAAAAATATGAAAAATAACCTAGAAGCTATCAAAATAATATCTGAGGTGTCTGGGAGTCTAGATCATATTGCAGCTTTCAAAATTATGAAGAAAAAATATAATTCCGAACTATTGATGTTTTTGCTGCCATCAATAAATTGAGCCATTCCAACTCTCGTGACATCCATGATTTGAACAGTCAATTGACTGAGGTAGCGGCTGAATTTATCGTCACGCCATTAACTCAACTTATTAATCTCATTTTTAACCAAGGGATCTTTCCGGATATTCTAACAATTTCGAAAGTAATACCATTATTCAACAAAGGGGACAAATCATCTATGGATAGTTATCGTCCTATCAGTATTATATCCATCATTAGTAAAGTAATTGAAATTATCTCAAAAGAAAGACTTCACTCCTACTTTGAAACTAGACCTTATTTCAGTGGGTCACTATATGGCTTCCGCATAAACAAATCCACAACTCAGGCTGCCTTCAGAATTGTGACAGACATAGTGGAGGGCCTCGATCAAGGTAGACATACTTCATTGACACTGTGTGATTTGACGAAGGCCTTTGACTGCGTATCGCACACTCTGTTCATTGAAAAATTGGAATACTACGGTATAAGGGGCATTGCCTCACAGCTGCTTCGTTCGTACCTCCACAACAGGATTCAGTGAGTGAAACTGAATGATGCTAAGTCTGATTACAAACTAATCGAACATGGGGTACCAGTACCACAAGGCTCGGTCCTTGGACCATTTTTTTCATCGTTTACATCAACGACTTATGTCAGTTTATTGCGCCTACCGAATTTGCCGATGACACAACTCTTGTATTCTCAGGAAAATCATATACGGACTTAATTGTATCTGCATCAACAGAACTAATTTCAGCCAAAAACTGGTTCAATCAGAATAAACTCAAGCTCAATAAAAACAAAACTCAGAATTTATTGATTTCCTCGAACTCAAACTTTCAAGAGGGAAAAAGTGTGAAATTTCTAGGCCTCACCATAGACGACAGACTGAGCTGGTTCAATCATGTTGATCATGTAGTACGAAATTTTGGCAGCATAAGAATTTCATATTTTTCATTATTTCATTCTGTCCTGTCATACGGTATTTTACTCTGGGGCAATGGGCGTGTACACCTTAGTAGAACTTTTAACTCAAACCATGTTTATAATGATCTTTTTATGCATAAATAATGATTGACCACATAATTCGATCGAAAAATCAACTGGAATGTTTTATTTTTGGACATAAATAATAGTACCTTCAGAAAACGGACCCTCTTATGACGTAGAAACCTCATCTCGCCATAGTTAAAAGAAAATACCAAACGCCCGACGGAGACTGAGGCAACTGATATATTAATTCTTTCAACTGTGATCTCGCGCTAATTCACTGTCAGAAATCATGTATCATTCATCTCTGTCTGGAATAGTCTGGTTTCAGTATTAGGGTTTTGACGTCACATCATCGCCTCGTTTTCAGAGGTCCGAAAAATCGGGGATTCCAATAATTTTTTATAAAACTTAGGGAGCTCACAGCAAGAAACGGTTTGCGGTGGTGAGCTAGTTTGGGTGAGTTCTATCGAATTATGCAATAACATTTTTTTGTGATATAAGCCATTCAACAAATGCTATAGCAGTTTTCAGACGTCAGAAGAAAGCTATATATACGAATACTGACAAACTTAGGCTATAGAGATCACTGTCAGCAACATTTCATTAAGCTTGGTATCATGCCAATGCCTACCTTATACATATTCACAGTTTTGCTGGAAATACACCAAAATGTGAGTGAATTTGGTAAACAGTCTAACTTTCATAGTCAAAATACAAGATCGGCTAATTCATTGAGAACCCAACGACACAGATTAGTTGTTAGCTGCAGAAACTCTTTAAATTTCAATATTCATAATATTCTCCACAGCTCCGTCAAAATGTTGGAATTCAGAAAATTCAAATCTCTGTTATCAAACAGTTCCTTTTAAGCCATTGTTTTTATAATATTGATACCTATATGGAGTCAGCAAGTGCTCTGAAGTTTCAAACTGTCATTTATCAATCCCTTCAACAGGACATTGTTATTTTTATGTTTTGTTCTCATTTATTTTTATCTTATTTTTTGTTTTATATATTTTACTCAGTTCATTTGATGTTTCATCTTCAACATACTTATCATGTATTTTTAATCATGTATTCTTGTATTTTAATTCATCTATTTCTGCACTTTAGTGATTGAGGGTGAAGATTATCTTTATTTTCAAGCACTATGGCTATTGTAATTATGACTTGCCGTACATGTAATTTACATAACATGGTCGAATAAACTACACTACACGTTAAGAGGTCGGATAAAACAGGGCGATGTTGCGCATTTTCATGCTGAATATTTATCTGCAAGAAAATTCGATAAGTCATTTTTAGTTTTTGAATTATTGAAAGAAAACGAAAATTTATGAATTTCGTTTTCATTTCTTCAAGCGGAAACCAACAGACCTAGACGTTTCTGACTGGGACATTCTTAAGGCATTTTTTACAAGCAATCTGAATCTAACATTGTATATTTTCCATGACGTCCTTGATGCCAAAGTTACAACAAACAACTTTGTTTTTCCTCATGGGCGCCATATTGGATTTTTACATTTTTGAGAAGTCTTTTTTTTTCGGATTACAAGTATGTATCACACAATATGATCGAATCTTTCCTGTTAATCAAAATTGGAAAAAAAACCATTTTTGCGAAGAGTATTTTGGAAAGGACGCCAACAGTTTTGTTCCGACTCTATATATTAATCCTAATTGTACAAGCATCATCCGAATTTGTACTACCTATACTAATACGTTTATATTTCCAGATTTTCACTTATCATGGAGCAGTATAATCTAACCCACTTGGATGAATTCTTATTATAAGTACATTAAGTTTGTTCACAATCACTTGATTAATCAGATCTTGTGATCAGTTGAATTTGGTGATCTTGAGCTGAGACACGGTCAACACAGAATCATTTAGAATCTGTGCTTGAGAAACATATCTATTCGAATGAGGAAAATCTTTTTCCTTCTTCTCGATATGAATCGAACCAATCTATTATTTTAATATAGATATCTTGACATTATTGCTGCTGAATTTTAGATATAATCAGGACTGACACAGTGACGATTCACTGAGGATCAGATTTAATTAAGACCTATCTGTATTTGCTTAGGTGTATTCAGTAAACATGCAAAATGACACATCGAATGTTTCTTTCTGTTTACAGAAAACACGTGTATTTCTAAAAAAAACGCATCAGCCAAATATTAATAATATGCTCCAATGGCAATGGTATTTGTTTTATTTGAAACAATTATTGACAAATCACTTGTAATATTCACTTGTGTCTAGATAACAAACTAGATAATCCGTTCACCCTTTGGTATTATTTAATATATTTTTCTTAATAACTTAAGCTACGTTTGTTAACTGGCTCAATATTGCCATGATATCTGGTGACGTGTTAATATCAATATCTCCAGAACATTTCGCATTTGCAATGATACAAATTCTAATCCAAAAATCAAAAATAGTCAAGCACGAATTCTAATTGACTTCATATCAGATCATCAAAAAAAATATACCTACTGTCAAAATGATTAGGTACCTAGGTTCTAAATAATATCACTATAATATGAAGAACGAGATTATTACTGCGGCAAGTTTATCGGAAACATATGGGAATGAAGAAGAAGTACCTTAATTTATTTTGAATGAATTCATTAATTTCATTATTCCAGATTTTTTGGGATTTCCCTCCCCTCATTTCAATAAAATAAAATATGAGTATTATTTCATTATACGTATAGGTATTGAGGACAAACCAGATATGGTTTGCCCCAAAATGTCCCTGCGTGTAAAAATGTTTCTATCAGAGAGCCTTAAAGAAAAATTCATTTTCTTGTCAGTGACACTTTGTTCTGAAAAAGGTTTGGAGAACAGAAATAAAGGTACTTAAAAAAACATCAAATTTTTACTTATCTTCGAGTGTTTCGGGAACGAATCTGTGTAGATGTGTTCTAAGTGATTCTACAACTGGATTTTTATATAATCAAGGAATCAGTTCATGTTAGCAGATTTTTTGAATATAGTAGAATTTAGAGTGAAGTAGAATTTATTTTCTTTAATTTACATGTGTGTCTGACTGGTGAATATTACAAGGGATTTATCATTTATATTAAATCACTAAATCTAGGTACATGCATACTCATGTATAAGACTCGATCAATTAAAAGCAAAGCAAGACAATCAAAATATATAAAATAAATTATGAAATAGGATTTGACGTACAGCATGAGAATTATTTCTAGATATATAGATACTAGTGTAATATAGAAACAGTCGAATATATTTTAGAGAAATGTTCAGAGCAGTCTGAAATGGAGTAGGTAACTAACACAAATGTTTCTTGAACTTTTTTCTCATACATATCACTCATATCAGATTAGATGGATCAAGTGATTTATACGATGATATAAGCTTTGATTCATGCAGCATAACCATCAAGGGGAAGGATAAAGGATATGCCCAATTCAAAGGGATAACGACCGAATCTAGTATAGCAACGCCACCTTTATAATCACAATGGAAACCAACCTCTATCAGAACAGAAATTCATAATCTGTGTGGCGCTAAACTATCGATTTGTAATTCTGAAGTAAGGAAAGAAAAATGTCCAAAGACAGCAACACCAAGCACTAGAATTACATTTGTTGATTATGTCGAAAAGATATTGCTACAACCTTTGAGTATTCACACAACTAAAAATGCCTTCATTTCCCGAAAGTGGGCTTCAGCCTAACGAAGAAAGATCCCACACTCTGTTTGTTGCTCCAATAGTCAACAGTTCCTGGCCAAATGGAGAAAAAAATATTTCCTATACCATACCATCAGGTGAGAGCGTTCACGAATTCGTTACTAGATTTGTTGTTATCTGATATGTTGAGTACTTGTATGCTCATCTAATTGGGAAATGGGTATTGATGATTGAGAGTAACAGATAGACCCCATATTCACATATATATAATATTATAATAGATTTAGCCACCAAAGCTACCAGACCATGATCCCATCGACTGCTTCAGCAACATATATATTTTAAATCATCACTTAATAGTGCAATTTTTGACGAATAGTATTATATGGAATTGTCTTTGTTCAATCCAATCTCTGGAACCTTTTCCAATTTGTTTTGTTACAAATATTCAATACGATTATACAAATTTTTTCTTCTAGGAACTTGGTGGCCCTTTTGCGACTACTGGAAAGACCCTCAACATATTCTTTATCAACTTGCAAATTTTTGTTTCGTGTTAGCCTACTCTTCCACATGTTCCAAAAGAGGAGTGCTGTTTATGCATTGCTGGTTGATTTTCGGTAATAATTTCTATGACCAATTTCATTACTAAAACCACGTACTATTCCTGGTGAAATTGAAAAAAATATAATGCAAAAGTGATTCTCTTTTAGAAGAGAAACTCCTGAAGCCCATGGTATCTCAAAGGGTATCCTTGGAGTTTTATCACATAATTATCCTTATATTTCTGAAACACAAGTGATATGTTTCAGCAATATGAGTAAACCAAACTTTTTCAGTGACCGAAACACTTTTTTTGAAAGGTTTGTTGCTATTTTCAACTTGGGCTTGGAATGTGATTTGTGCCCCGGACGTCTTCACTTGGAATTTCGCTTTCATGTTGATGAACATGGCTCAAGTCTTCCATATCGTGTACCAGCTTAGACCTGTCAAATTCGATCCTGAGCTAGAAGAAGCCTATCACGTTCTATTCGAGCCTTTCAAGGTGAGAACGTACTTCAGCATCGTCCAAGCCATGACTCAATCTTTATGAAGCTTTCTAGATTACAATTCAAGAGGATGGTGAGTGCAGATTTCGCCCAAATAATGTCTCTGCACGCTGGGGAGGCATACGCTGTTCAAAATCTGACAAGAACTGACAGGCTTGGGCTTCTTCTATCGGGAAAGGTGAGTGGTTATTGGTTTTCATAGAATATTTCTTGATAGTCACTGATACGCTGTTCAAATCGATTTGAAAGTATAACAAAGGAATGTTTGGATGCATGACAAATTCATATTCATCATTCAGGGCGTGGAAAGAAAATTGTGAATTGAGAGAACCCAATCTCCGAATCTGTGATTAGACAAGTCTCCATCGTTCCCATTGATTGGGTATGAAAGTATTGAAAAGGAATATTCCCAGATATGTTATTAATATGAAACAATCGATATATGTGAAGAAATACATGGAGTATTCGCATTCTCATCGTGATGAATATATCAACTCTTCATCGGTATTATACAAATATTATTTTCGATATAGAATAGTACAAGAAATGCAAGATTGTTTCCAAGGTGCGATTTGTAGTTCTAGTGCGAAGCCCGAGAGATTCAAAGCACCGAGTGAAAAATTGCATTCTGTCCTGAGGGTATATACTATTTTTTACGGTGGCGAAAACACAAAAATTTTGAAGACATGAGAGATTGGAAACTGAAGAGAGAAGAGGATACCATACAAGATGAGTTGTAAATTGATCTGGCTGAAATTTTGAAGACATGAGAGATTGGAAACTGAAGAGAGAAGAGGATACCATACAAGATGAGTTGTAAATTGATCTGGCTGGGGTCGTCCTCACTACAAATATATTGAAATAATAGTAATATTTTACACCTATCACAGATGTCTTCTTGTCATTGAAAATCAGAGAAGAATTACTAATGTTGTCTTCAACATAAGTTGAGGTTGACACACTCAGTTTACATGAGTTTTTGATGAAGTCCTAATGAATACGATTTCGATTCGTACCCATTCACGATTATTTCATTAACAATCAAGGACGTTCATTAACAGTGATGGACACGCTCTATTTTTATGTAAATTCGGTTACTAAGATTAGCACCTTGATAAGTCATTCAATTTCCTCTGGCAGAATTATAGGTTTGTATCGGAATGCAACTGTCTCAGAATAACACGCAACATAATTGATGACCAAATCAACTTATTTGAATCACAAAACAAATCCAATGTTATAATAACATAGGTACGTTATTGAGTCATTCGAAGTATTAGGTCGTTTTTTTTATCTGTTGAAGCGCACGAAAGAAAATTAACAAATGAGGAATGAGAAAGATGCTGTTATTACCTCTAAATATATAGGTATAGTCTAGAATTTGAGAAGAGTATCATCTTAGGGATCTAGAAACTAAACGAAAATAGAGAATTTGACCAAGACTTCCAAACTGAGAATGACCAAAGTTTGATTTTTATCGTCAATTTTTTTTATAGGTGAACGTACTCTCAGATAATCAGTTTCTGCATCCAATTTTGCCCTGCGAGTTCCTAGATTCGCCCGAATTCGAATCAAGCAGAAACACTGTAGATGACAAATTCAAAGTGAGTATATACTAGGTGATTTTGAAGTATGTGCACATATTCAGCATATCCATATGATACAGTCTTAACTAATATTCCCACAATTTTTCTATATCTTCTCATTAAATAAAAATTCAATCTTGAAAATTGAACGAATGATGAGAAAAAAAACAAGTATGTCACTTCAAGACAAATAAAATAATTGAATTCCAGAATTTCCATAGTATAGAAATCTTGATGGAAAAAGACGTCTCACCCCAAATTTTATTTTGATCCCAACATTGTTTTCCTTCGTGTCATTCGAGAGCATTCATCGAGTTTTCTTTGGGTTTGAAATATTTGTATTCATTTCAATTATGTTACCCTGTATAGTATCCCTACCAATTCCAACCAATATGCGATTAACAATACGCTTCATGACAATCGCTGTTGAAGTTATGAAGTTATTCACCATTTACCAGTTTTCAATCATGTTTCAACACTATTTCCAGTAATATTCTAGTAGTACAATCTTTTATTTCGTCACAAATGGCCCTCCTATTGACCAGATAGAGACGTCCTTTGGAGATGTGTCAGGGATATTCCAGTGACATCCTCAAAACACCTATCACTGAAACACCGGATGTCCTAACGCACGTATTGGTAGTGACATATGCCAAAAACTGACTTCTTATCCCATTTCTTGGTACCTTCGTATAGTTCACACCTCAGAAGTTATGACTCAACACGAATTCTGAATTCCAAAACGTTTCTTCGGCAGATGTTGACCAACCACTTCCACCAAATGAAGAAGATAGTGGCGAACATGACTTCTTCATCCCATTTCTTGATACATTTGTACAGTTCATGCCACAAAAACTGTGATCCAACACAATTTCCGATTTCCAAACGTTTCCCCCACGCACGACCAACCACCCTTACTTAATGGACAACAAGATAGTGACTGAACCTGACATCATCATCTCATTTTTTGGTATCTTCTACCTACTTCCACCCCAAAATCTATGATACCACACGAATTTCGATTTCCAAACTTTTCAACGACAAACATTGACCAATTACCCCCACCCTTCACATCAAGTATCCATCGCAGAAGCCAGAACCTGCAGATACCTCTACTGACAACGTATAGCTCCTTGGAGTACCTCTTCGTTAAAGACACCTACAATCTGTACACAATGAACAACTAGATCGTGACGAAGCTGACTTTTTCATCCCATTTTTTGGTAGCTTTGTACAGTTCACACTCCAAAAGCTATGATTCAACACAAATCTCGATTTCCAAACGTTTCAACGACAAATACTGACCAACCACTCCCACCAATTATATCAGATGTTCATCGTAGCAGTCAGCACCTGCAGATGCTTATACTGGCAACGTGGCTCCTTGGGTTACCTCTTCGTCAAAGACACCTACAATCTGTAGTCAGTTATCGATGAACAACTAGATCGTGCCAAAGCTGACTTTTTCATCCCATTTTTTGGTATCTTCGTACAGTTCACACTCCAAAAGCTATGATTCAACACAAATCGCGATTTCCAAACATTTCAACGGCAAAAACTGACCAACTATCCCCCCCCCCTTTACATCAGGTGTCCATCGTAGCAGCCAGCACTTGCAGATACCTCTACTGGCAGCGCGCCTCTCTGGAGTACCTCTTCGTCAAAGACACCTACATCGCCACCGTGCTCACCACCATCATCGCCAGAGACATCGCCACCAAGTTGTACGCGATGAACAACAAGATCGTGACGGCCAAGGGGTCGCACCTGGACATCAGGCTGCCCAGCATAACATCTTCACTGGCTTCGGGGGGCGAGTACAAGTCGCCCATACGGTCCAAGAAAGCCAACGGAGGTAAAACTAGTTAATTTAGTCGAATTATAAGAAACGTTACGGAACTCTTGATGGACGTAGTTTAATCGAAAAATAGAAGATTTTATCTAAATTCGTATTATAGAAGATGCATTTGATTGATTTTATTCATACGCATTGCATAATGATGATCTATTCATGTTATCTGTACGACGCTGCCATCTATACACGTGCAAACCCCTATGACTACAACGTTATGGTAGATACTACAAGTAAACCACTCTGCTGAGAGATGGCACTACCTGACTACTTGAGTGGAATGATCCACCAGTCCTATTCATTGAAATAGATCTCATATCCCTGTTCATCCTAGTTCTCCTAGTTATGAGATCTAGTTCAATGCAATCACAGTAACAATTACAACGTATTTTAAATTAGCAATAGTCAGGGTTGACCCAGCAATAAATGCTTGTCAAATTACTTTTTCCAATTGCTGGAAATTGAGGAGTTTCAAACTGTGTCTATATTGACAAATTCCAAGATACTGGCTTCAACAGCAGAATGACTCGAATGCAGATTTTGATCTGAAAATCAAACGTTTCGTATCCAAGCATTTGAAGTGATTCTCAGAGAAACGTCATTCCTGAAGAGGCTAAAGACTTTGTTAACTACTTCGAGGATATATGGATAGAAACATTTGAAAGACTAGAGAGGAAACAGCTTAGAACGAAAGACCGAACACGTTGTATAAGGATAGAAATAAAAGACGTGCTGTAGTTGCCAGACGATTCCATGAAGAATCTGAAGATAACAATATTCTTACAATATTTTGAAGCTGTTGCTCGTAACATTGAGTTCCCTATACTCATTTCGGTGAATAGGGGTACTGAAAATCCCTATTCTCCACCCAAACTAGCAGAGGCTTTCTGCAAGAAGGAGTTGAAGTCTCACAGTCGACCAACTACTCTGGGGCTGACTCACCTCGGCTGTGCCTATGACAGTGTCATACTCGTCAAGGGTGAATTCGAAAGAGCAATCAAAACATGTCCCACTGCCGCAATGGAGGTAATTCTAGACCTCTACATTTAATTGTGGAGAATGCGGGAAAGAGAACGACATACAGAATGATCAGAGAAGGGATCAAATCTGCCCACTCAACCAGCAAATCCAGCATCTTCCACAGGATGAGATAAAGAAAAAGTGCAGCTTCGTGAAACAATTCACCACGAGGTTAAGCTGAAAAAAAATGAAACAGTGAATTCATGGGTATTGAGCTCAAAGAAGGAACCATAAACTGGAATATAGGAGTCTACGGGCCTCGTACCAAGTACCTCGAAAGTACAGTCGCCCTTCTATGAGTTCAGGGACATCCGGAGTAGAGCAGGGAATTGAAGTAGCGAACAAACCCGCTAGGAACAAACAATGTTTTCCGTGTAATGAGTTGATCAGATACTGCTCAGTTTTCATTCTGTTGTTGAACAGGAACATGATAAACAAAAAGTTTTCTGTCTTTGTGACTGACTTTGCCATCAGGATTGATTCATTATTCTCCTAACCTATGAGTCTGATGATCACCCCTGGGGTTGAAACATGTTGCAACAAGATTTGTATTGCATTTTATATTCAGAGTGAGACTTTCAGTTTCTTTATTAATATTCACAGTTCACACTCATTTATTAGTATAGATGATTCAAATTTCAGGTCTTGGGCTGTGCTCGGATACATATTCAAACGAGTCGATCAGGCACAAGTCTCGAGAAAATGGAAACCCATCTCAGAACTGTTACCAGAACGAAATGGAACCACTAACAGAGCTACCATCAACAGATGACCTTACGTCCAATGACGTGGAAAGCTGGTTGGAGACCAGCTCTAAATATCACAGTTGTGAAATTGTTGACACAGATTAGCTGTCGATAACTTATATTATTAATTATTATGTTATAATTTTTATTATGTATATTATTTCATGAAACACTCTTATTCATTGATACGAAATAAATCTATTGATATTCTAAACAGAGGTTTCTGTCAATTTCCAAGAATAATTTTTCAATTTTCCTGTTGGAAATAGAAGCAGATTCGTTATCGACACGTCAGTCAAGAGATAAGTGACATTATTTTTCTTCCAACATTTTTCAAAACAAGGTGCCACTGAGAATCTATTAAATTTTTCTTTTTGTCTCCCTGACAGTGGAATTTTTAAATGCCGCTTATTTGTCTCTACTAAACATAACTAAAATGATGGTCATTTATAAAATTGGACAGGAAAAATCCCGAGAAATCTAGAGCAATGATCCTTCAATAATTTTACATAGAAGTATGACAGATTATTTACTTCAAAATATCTCTCTTCGGGCGGAATGGTTCTTTGATAGAGGATGTCAAAGGTTAATTGCATAATTTCGCAATTACTTCGAAGTTTTTGGACATGGTTAGGTCAGACATGAAAAATCATAATTCGCTTTTTCTTCAATGTATTTTCTAGAGCCACATGAGCCAATTTTGTAGCGGACATTTTTTGAGGGGCTGTAGCTACACTCCAAACTACCCCCTAACTTACTGTATATTGGCTGGGACTAGATATTGAATAGAATTGCAAATTCTGTTTTCTTTTTTGGTCTTCATAGAACTTTGATCGCGTGCAAGTCAAGGATTACTGAAAAGGAAGCAGAGGCGCCCATCCTGACGATGGGTTTTGGGGAGTGGAATCAATATAAAACGTCACAATGTCAGAACGAATTAAAAATTCTCGATGTTCACTTGATAAGAAAAAGAAAAAGAACTAATGACCAATGTTGAAAGCACCCATGCAATAAATTCTCAAAAAATGGGTTGTAAGTTATATAGGGATTGAAAATTCACCAGGTATTGAAAAAATGTGAAGAAGATAATAAGTAGTGTTGTTTTTTGGAATTAGGTTCTAGATTGTGAAAAAAAAACTATATTTCGTGAAAGCAAACGTTCCGTCAATTTATTTTGACATCTTCAGGGCACTGTAAGATAAAAAGGTTGTTACAATCTATAGATAGAGATATGGACAATACATAATCACCTAAATAAAGAACAATGTCATCCCTTTTTGGCTCTTATTATTACTTCTTCTCGAAACAACTACTGAACATGGTTGAGGGAACCAAAAATAGTATTTCCACTTACATATAATAAACCATAACAAGTTTAGGTTTTGACAGATGTACATATACAAATAAGCCTAAAACAACAATGGCGACAACTGGAACGAATTTTGAGTATATTGTTTGCGAATGAGTTCAGATCACACCGTAATTGAATGGAACACCTAGGAATGCCATAACATGGCGATTCATCGGATTCATCATCAGAATGCGGTTTGGTTGAAGCACAATATACTTTTCAACTATAGTCGTTGATTGATGGATTTTGGTTGGCGCGACTCTGGAAAAAAGTGTCTATTTTTAAAAGTTGGAGGTGAAGGTTATGGAAATTGGCGAAACGGTTATTTCATCCAATGAAGGAAACATTCCCTAGTATTTAGATGAAATTACTAGGTACTATAGGTTATACAGGGTGGTCCAACGAAAACTTTACGCGATTTCAGGGCTTTCAAATGATAATCCGGAAAAATGCTCGAACATGTTGATTTCTGATCCGAGGAGGAACGACTTGTCAACCCTCTACCAGGGGAAAGCATAACCTCCGCATTTTCATTTATTCGTCCTGGCATTGCAATCTTTGCTCTGCAGTGCAATTACAACTGTGAGTTTCTAATTGGAAGGCCGCCATCGATATCGAGGAATTAGTTAGTGTGGCATCATCAACCATTCTGAATGAAATCCAAAAGCATCGGCGTTTTTTGTGGATCATAAGAAGCTGTCATGGCGTGAAGTAGATATTCGCTTGGAATTAAGAACCATATTTTTTTGAAGCAGCTCTCGCGATGGATCTTACAAGATTTAGAGTATTTTACTGATGGAAATACCGAGCATTCATTTAGATATTTGTGTACCGCCATGTACTCTGTATGAATTTACTCATGAATGAAGTGGAGTTCACCAAACTTTCCATAAGTTATAATGGCACGTCTGGCTATTTAGTTTTCGAAACATCCTCATTTCTCATTCCATTTGGTGATTAGCTAGTGCGAGAGCTAGCGTGACGGTAATATTCACAAAATTTTCGAACATATAACTCGGTAAGTACTTTTCAACTTGTTGAGTGTATTACCTACCAGTTCCAGAGTAGTTATTATCAAATTTTAAAGGAAATGCTTATCACTAAACGATACCCAAAATCATTAAGGATCTCTTTGAATTTCCAGAACTTGTTTTGTTTGATTTCTTCGATGAACAATTTATCAACATTATGTCGGCTTTGAAAATTTTTCATTTCAGATAATGGTGGACGCTCGGATTTGATGTCGTATAGCGTAGAGTAAAACTTCATTTTATGGGCATTACACAAGAGTACTTTTATGCATGGAATTATCCAGGAAACCTTGTTCTGTTCAAAAATATTGAAAGGTCTCGACTATTTCCAGGTTTTGGGGTGTGGACTATTGGGGGCAGTCCGTTCCTGATATTGTAGCTAAACAACTGACTCATGCAAGGAAGCTCATCAAAGGAATTCATTCGTTTGGTATAACACCAAAAATTGGATGATTTTCGATATTCACTTGTTGAGCTATCGAAGAAAAATATTTTGTAACTTCAAAGTCCAATAATTTAGTATCGAAGTATTTTAGGAAAAATAATTTTATGAAATACTGGTGATATTTCGACGTCATCTATATATTCCTTAAAGGAAAAAATGAATTCCTGGGATACCCTATATAGTATGGAAAACATCAAACGAAATAAAAGGTTGAATCGAATCAAACCATTTTCATTTGTAATATCACGATGTTCGTAATATTCGAGATAATAATTGTTGCCCAGCAACATCACAAGTCCGGCAGAACGAGTAATCTCTCTGTATTATTATTGGTAATCACTTATCTAACAAATTAATCTAGATTGCCTTCGCTAATGAATTTTTCATCATACTGAAGTTTATTTCAGTCTAGTTAATTTTTTGATTAATCCGAATGAAATAGTCCTGGCAAATACCATAATATCTACTATAATATATACCTCTGTACCAGTTTATATTCTCGGATCCAGGTTTATTATTTTTCGTTCTGAAATGTGATTTTTTGTGAGAATTGCGTATCGAAGATCTGGTCGTTTCGAAGAAAATAAACTTTTATGTTTACCGCTATATTTACGATCACAATATGAGGATCTATCAGTAATTGAGCATGTTTTATTATTGAAATATTATACCCTATCCAGAAACCTGACGCCATCAGATGGATACTCGAAAACATCATAACGTATGTACCTCTCTGATCCTTTGTGCCCTATCCAAAGCTTTGCAGATGACAGTACTGTCTTTATTTCCAGCGAAATATACCACTTTACACCTCAAAAGCTTCCTATAATCACTTTTGTATGAATACTTCCACGGGAAATGTTCTTCATAAATCTTGTATATCATTCCATCACTAGCGATATCAAAAACTCGATGAGCACATAATCCTCAAGATATGTCAAACAACTCTTCATCAAAACTCGTTTGTCTATTGAACGGCAAAGCTTCGGAATTCTCTGCCAAAATAATTATTCTCAAGACCTAATAACCTTTTGAAGTTGAATGGAATTCACTACCTAACTTCTTTCCTCATTTCCCTGAACATCATAAGGAATCTATTCCGTGCTTTCCAAAAAAAAACAAATAAGGACAATAGGAGGGGAAACTGCAAGAATATTTCATATTTTGGCGAAAGCCCAACTCCGATTGAAGTTCTTTCGCCAAAATATGAAAATAAACTAATACTTTGTTTTCAGATGCCAATGATTTTCACATTGAAACAAGATAACGAATAAACTAAACAAGGTTTGAGCATTCTTCATATCTGGTTATTTCATCAGTTACTCATGTAAAATCATCAACGCTATATTAAAATTATTACATGTTCCTCCAAGATGGAAAGATGCCGAAGTATATTAATGATTTAGAAACAGGGCCAGAGCTATGGCCCTATGAGTTTCTATCAAAGATTACTGAGCGAGTGATTACACAGAGGTTACTGGAATTTATCGACGATAACGAGCTGATATCAGATGAGCAGTTAGGTTTCAGAACTGGCCACTCAACTGACCTACAAGTCCTGAGACTCAATGAAAACACAATATCGTTGTGAAATGATGGACAAAAGACTCATCTTCCTCTTCTTGACATAGCGAAAACATTCGACAAGGTGTGCCATGATGGTATTTTGTACATACAAAATGATCTATGTGGGCTTCCCTGATGATTCAATTGATGTATTCATTTCTGAAAAATCGAACATTTCAGTGAAACTTGATGATCAACGATCTGGTATCAAGCCCATTGAAGATGGTGTTCCTCAAGGTGCAGTTTTATCACCGTTGTTGTACAGGGTGGGCCAAATTGGATACTATGATGATTTCGAGATTGCGAAGCTATATAGAGTACTTATATCGAACCATATTGGAACATAAAATTATAAATTCTGTGCACAGAAAAACATTAAGTAAATATCATGATAGATGGCGACGCTATCGCTCCTTCGAGGCTCATCTCTCGACAGCCTTCAAATAGTATCAGCTCAGAGATGTTTTGTAATGTCTTAACTCTCACTACCATGGTTCATTCCATACACTGAGTACTAATGTTACTATATCAGAGTCGTGTTATTCAACACTGAGATGCAGACAAGAAAGCACCGCTTCTCAGCGTGCTAATACTCAATGAGTGTAAAAATATTCGCATATCATAATGTTATCAGTAAAAGCAAAAACGCAACAGATATATACAGTGTCAAAATAATCAACAAATGATTGTTATATTACACCACTTTGGTATTGTATAACACGGACCGATGAAATTAGCACTAGGTACTCTAGTGTATTTCTTGACTGC